ACCAGGGAAGTCCCTCACCTTCATTCTTAAAGGATGTTTTGGTTGGGTGTAATATTCTGAGATCCTTAGTTATTTTCAGCTCATTGAGCACACAGTACGTTCTGTTGTCTTTTGGTGTCTATTGAAGAGAAAACAGTAGTCAGTCTTTTGTGCCTTTGAAGTTAATCTAAGTCTTTTCTCTATGCTTTTTGAGGTGACTTCTGTCCCTGTTGTCTTACATTTTCACTCATATATCTAAGTGTGGGTTTTATTTATTCTGATTGGAATTTGTAGGGCTTGTCTTTCATTAGTTCTGGAAAATTCTTAGCTATTTATTTCTTCAAATATTCTGCCCATTCTATCCTCTACTCCTAGAACTTGTATTAAATCTTTTTAGACATTATTGTGTCCTAAAATGCTTTTTCAGTATTTTTTATCCTCTAGTCTCTGCCGTACTTTGGAAGATTTCTTCTAAGCTCACTTCCATTCCAGCTCACTTAATTCTCTCTCCATCTGTGTTTGGTTTACTGTTAAACCTGCCCATTTAGTTTGATTTCTGTTATTTTTATTTCTAGAAGTTCTGTTTAGTTCTTTGCCAGATTTGCTCTATCACCTTTATTTAGTAAATGACTGTTTCTTGTAGGTACTGCTACAGACATTGTATTTTCAAACTTAATAAGCATGATTGTTTTTTCTGTGTGGTCTTTTTGACAATATTTAAGTCCATTCATAGGATGGGCTTCTGTTGTATTCTTTTCTGTTGCCCCTATTGTTCTCAAAAATTACTTTATGAATTATTTAAGGTCTAGGATGAAGGCACCTTTCATTTACATTTGGATATGCAGGTGCCTAGGAATGCTGAGATGGCTTTAAGCTCATAGCTTAAGGTTTTGGGTGCAGTGCAGATGAGGTGAATTTGGGCTTTTGAACAGGAGGACTTGTGTATTATCTCTGAGAATATAGCACTTTGAGGTTCCTGCTTAATTTGGGAGGTTTGCTATAAAGATTTCCTACCTTGAATAAGTCCAGGGCTTTTGGTTTCACCAGACAGTAGTTCAAATTTGATTGGCAGTTGCCCTCAGGCCAAAAGCGGCTTCCTTCTACTTATCCTTTTGCTTCCTGTTTTGCCTTCAGTTTTGTGTTAGTAATTTCTTACTATCTTACTAACATTTTCCCATGCTTTTAAGATTTTAACAGATATTTTATTCTGTACTTTTAATTAATTTTCATTGGTAGAGTTGGTCTGAATAATCTAGCTTGTCACTACCAGGAGTGGAAATTCTTCAGAACTCTTAGAAAGCAATTTCATGTCTGATAAATAAAATTCTCATTGATTTTACTTAATGTTGTTGACTGCAATAAAAAAAAAAATCAATGCAGGTGTTAACCTAAACTTGTGTTTTTCAGTGTGATCTGAATGTTTGAGACCACCTGCCTCAGAAGCTGGGTTTCTTATTTCAAATGCAGATTTTTGCGTCCACTCCTTGGTTTTGAATCTGAGTATGGGAATAGCTCCTTTATTTTTAGTTTTTTGATTTATTTGTAATTCTAGATTTACAGAAAAGTTGTAGTTCAGAGTTCCCATATGCCCGTTACCCAGTTTCCCCTAATGTTAACATCTTATACTGCCATGGTGCATTTACTGGTCAGTCTGCATTTGTCAAAACTGAAAGAAGCTGTTTTTAGCCATCATCCTAGCTAATTATTTTGCAGGAACACTGACCCCATGTAAAGGGTAGTTCAAAATGGACAGAATGAAAAACATTGTGTGTGTTTATTGAGTGTTAACTAGGTATCAAACACGAATCTTTTACATGAATTTGCTTCTTAATAAGAGAAATCCAATGAGGGAAAAATTTTCTCCTGCTTTTTGAAGATGATGAAATAAGGCCAGAAGTTGTTCGCCTGAGCTAGATTGCTACAAAGCTGGTGTCAACCCAAATGATCTGGCTGCAAAATTAGGCATACTTTTCTTTAAAAAACAAAAGTGTATACAACCAAGAAACCTAATTTAGCCAGAATGCGCAGATTGGAGAAGGCATCTCTGAAGAAGTGAATGCCATCTTGTTGTATCTTGAATCCTCGGTAATAAAGAATCAAAAGAATTTCATTATAAGAGTTTGAATTCTAAATGTAATGCCACAAGGTGGACACTGAGGGTAGAAGTGTAACCATTTTTCTGTGAACATGTTAAAATGATATAAAAATTTGAATTTAGAAGTTTTGGGCGTTTTTTGTTTCATAACTTTTGATAATTGCTGGATTCACTACACTGTATATTCAACCCAGCAAATTCTAAAATGTTATTAAATAAGTATCTGTATAGGAAAACCGAATAATGCAGAATGAAACGTAAGTTCTCATTTACTTCCAAACTTTTCTCTCTTATAGGTAGCTCCTGTTAGGTTTCTGGTGTATCTTTCCAGAAATGTCTTATTCATAAGAAAGTATGTACATGTATGAGTATGCACATTCATATATATCCAGATTGGATTTTGCCATACATCCTTTACCCCTGCTTTGATGCTCTTTCCATATCAACTCAGATCTGCTTTATTTTTTTATTGCACAGCATTCCATTGTATGCACATTAATACTAAGGTTTTTTCCTGTATACTGCTTTGTATACTTTCTTTACTCCTCTGGAGGATATGATGCAGTGATTGGAAAAAGCAGATGTAATACCTGTAATCATGAATTTTATGGCCTGGTCAGTTGGGGGGAGACAGACATTAGTCAAATAATCACAATAATTTATAATTACAAACTTGAGACATCGTATGATGGAAAGAAATGGAGCTTTATAGGAGTGTGTACAACCAAGAAATCTTACTTAGCCAGGATGTACAAGTTGGAGAAGGCATCTCTGAAGAAGTAAATGCCAGCCTGTCCTGTCTTGAAGAAGTAAATCTTTGAGCTGAGAGCCAAAGAATGTGTAGGACTGGGAAGAACCTATTAGGCGAGCATGAAACATTTACAGACCCTGAGATCCTTTAATTTTTTTCAAGGTAGGTTCTCATAAGTGAATAACCAAGGCTGGAGATGGACATATTTAAGGCTTTTGTTATTCCCATGGCCAAAGTGCTCTCCAGAAGGGTAATGGTTTATAGGAACACTAGCCATATTTAAGAATGCATATTCACCATAATTTTCCCTGCATTAAAAGAAAATCCTTACTCTGATTTCGTAGACAAGTTTGAATCCCGCTTGTGTTTCTTTGACTGATTGAATATTTTTCTTATTTTTGAATTAGTATCTTCATAATTTTTTGCTAAATGTTTTGTTAATGCTAACTAGTTAACCAGCATCACTAGAGAAATTTATCAATGCTGTTAGAAATTATTTACAGCAAACAGAAAGTGTATAAAATAGAGTAGGATACATTAGGAAGAAATATTTCTAAATTGTCTAAAGGGTGGATGTTGGATCAGCAATACTATTCCAAATGAAAGCACTTCACTGCTAAAATCAGTAACTCTTAATTCTCTAAGTGAAAAGCATATTAAGCATGTTGGTATGAGGAATCACATCTTGTAGCATCTTGTGAGTTAAACTAAAGTTTTAATTTTTAAAAGAGTAAAAATTGATGTTAATGTGGGATTCTAACCTTAATTTTTTAAAAAGTAATCTGTGCGTTACCTATGGCATTCAGCCATTTTTCTGGCTCAGTGTAACACATTCTGTCTTAAGTTTTGGCTTTCCTTTTTTTTTTTAATTTTATTTTTTGTACAGCAGGTTTTTATTTATTTTATAAGGTTTTGGTTTTCTAAAAGCAGAATTCTCTAAATTAATACTAATCTTATAGTACAAAAGAACTTAGGACATGCTCTGATCATTTCTAACAGTATTCAGGTCTGATAACCAAGGACATTATGGACAGTGTGCCAGCATATCTGGGGTAGGCTGGGGGCGTGGTGGTATTCAGTGATGTGACATGAGGTGCGTTCACGGAGATGAGGAAGGTTTACTTGACATAGATTGGGACCAGAGCTTTTTATAACTGCCATTAAATAGTTTAAAGGGCTGACATTTGATAACAAGAATTATTAAACTAAAAAAAAAAAAAGATCTCCAGGGGGAGCATAATGAGTACAGTACAGCATGTGGCAGATTTTGACTTTTTAACATGAATTTGATAAAAATTAATACTGTTAAAAATCAAGTGGGTTTGAGAGAGGTAAAACAGTTGTCCACACAAAGACTTACACACAAATGCTCATAGCAGCTCTATTTATAATAGCCCCCTGCCAAAAGAAAACCCAGATGTCCATCAGCAGCTGAATATTTAAACGTACAATAGAATATGTTTTCAATGGAATACCATTATACAATAAAAAGTAATGAATATTTGATAAATACTACAACACAGATGAATCTCAGAATAATTTTTCTGAATGAAAGAAGCCGGACTGGAGGAAAAAAGTACATACTGTATGATGGCATTTCTATAAAATTCTAGAAAGTATGAACTAGAGTGACAGCAGAGCAACAGTTGCCTGGGGTGGGAAGCAGGAAGGGGAGAAGGGAGGTGTTCTAACAGGGCAGGGGAAGAACTTTGAGAGTGATGGATATGTTCATTATTTTGACTTTGATGATGGTTTCACGGGTGTATATATACGTGAAAACTTGTCAAAGTAAAAAAAAAAAAAAATCAACTGGGTTTGATCTGTGAGGTACTAAGCAGCCCAGAAATTTAAGCAAAAATTGACCATTCATGGTTGTTAAAGGAATTTGAATAAAGACTCTTTGTATTTTTCCTTTCCTGTGATTCTAGCATACATTAGATTTTCACCAACAGTGCTATTGTAAAAATCCTTGCCCAGTAGATTCTGAATGCCAAGTAGTAACTTGTAAGCAGCATCCTCTGAAAAATTACTTCAGTTATTAGTGTCTGTGTTCCGTGTTTTTCCTTGAAATAGTTTTAACGTGATATTCATTTAAAGGTTTTGGTTTCAGATGTTTTTATTGGTTATAAATAAGCGTACGCTCTTTCTTTTTAACACTGATGTTTCTCTCCATAGGTATTTGGCGCTCATACAACATGGCAGACCTCGACAAGTAAGTGGCAGATAGCTGGTTCCTTTTTCAGATTTGGCATCACTTTGTACCGTGTGGTGTAGTTAACAGCAGTACAAGTTATGTACTATGAAAATGTATGGTAATGACATGCTTTAGTGCCTGCTATTTTAAAAGTTGGGTACAATGTATTCAAGACAAAATATAGTATACAGAATCACTGTCATAAATATAGTAAACCGTTTGTCCGTATTTATTCTTAGGGAAGTGCTGAGCACAATAATGAGTCATAAATATTTGGAGATTTCATTTTTACCATTTCTCAAAGATTTTACTACTTGCATTGTAAAGTATCATACATACAAGATAAAAAGTGTATGAAGCTTATGTGTAGAATTTAAAGAATAACAGTACCCTTGTGTACAAGTTTTAAAAAATGGATCATTACTTTTAGAAGCCCTGTGTGCCCCTTCTCAATTGCATCCTCCTTTTCTCTCCAGAGGTGTCAGTACTATCTTGCCTTTTGTCTAATTCACTTCTTTGTTTTTCTTTAGAGTTTTACAACCTACAAATTCTTAATCAGTGTTTACTTTTGAAAATCTGAATAGCAGTTACAAACTTAGCTGTGTAAAGAAAAAAGCAGTGTTAGTTGAAGGGTCCAAGGTAGGAAAATAAAAAGCAAAAGAGACTATCTGGGTCATGGACTGGCTTCAGCTTTCCTGAGTCTTTACAAGGGCTTATTTTGGAGAAGTCATTGGGCAAGGTCATACATCCTGGAAACATAGGTTTATTGAAGTTGGCATCTGTCAGGGTTCTAGTGTGGATGGATGTCTTGCAGAAGTATGGTGAAGGAGAATGAGGTGACCTGCACTGTTTGTTGCTATTTGTAATTTCACAATAGTCTGCCAACTCAGGAATAGGTAAAACAGAACATTTCAGGATGAAGGGGTTACGATGCGATTATCCACAGCTGTTGTAGGCAGCAGAACATGGAGGTGGGAGGGCAGGAAACTTATAAGGGCAACACATTCAAGTACTTATACGAATTTGGCCAATCCTCCCATGTGTACTGTCTTCAGCATAAAAATAAGAGTGGCAGCAGACATTTTAGTGATAATGGCTGTCAGAGTGATTGTCTCCTGAATCACACTGCTCCAGTGTGGATTGCTTGACCTTGGTTGCACAATTGTCATTGTGGATTTATTTTATCTTCCTGGGGTTTCCTTTTGTCTCTCCTCTCTTGGGTTTGCTGTTTGCTATATCCCATGTTTTCTTTTTTTGGTTCTTTGGTTTAGTACCTTGGAAGAGTACAAGGGAAGTAAATTCTTTTGAGATGGCATGACTGAAGATGACTATTTTACCCTTCTGCTTGATATTTGGGATGTAGAATTGTAATTTAGGAATCACTTTTCTTTAGAATTTTGAAGGCATTGCTCCATTGTCACCTTGCTTCTAGTGTTGCTGTGTTGAAGTTCAAAATCGTCATAATTCTTGATCATTTGTATGTAACACTTTTTAAAAAACGTAGACATGTATGTCTATTTCTGGAAACTACTGGCTTTGGAGTTCAGAAATTTTAACATTGTTAGGTCTTTTTTTTTTTTTAATCTCTTGTTAGGCATTCAGTGGTGGACTCTCAGTCTGGCAACTTGATAGCTGTCAGTTCTAGGGAATATTCTTGACTTATTTTGTTGATTGTCTTGTTCCCATTTTCTATTTCTGGAGCTTCTGTTATATGTTGGACTGGTTCTTGTGATTACCTTTTGTCCTAGTTTCCATCTTTGTCTCTTTGCTCTTCTTTCTGGGCAAAGCTGAAGAAACTTTATCTTTTAACTCTTGTATTGAGTTTCTAAATTTCTGTTGTTTTAGTTTTCAAGCGTTCCTTTGCTCTCTGTTCCTATTTTTATAGCATCTTGTTCTTACTTCACTGATTGTAATATCTTTTCTCTGGATGTTCTTTCCCCTGTATAGTCTGTTTGGTCTTAAATTTTTCTTTCCTGTTTTGGTCTCCATGTAGGAGGCTTTCCTCAAATAGGAGGTAATACTTGTTTGCTCTTTAAGACTGGGTGGGGGAAATGCATAGTTGAAGGATGTTTTTTAAAAGTTAATTGGCGAATTTGACTGTTGGGAGGGGGGGAGTGCTTTCAATTTAGGATTTTAATGTGGGCTCACCAGGGCAGACATTTGTTGTGAGACTCCCCACTGTCAGAATGGCATTTTTTTCTGGGCTGGTCACATACCCCAGTAAAGAGTGTTTGGGTAAAGATACGGCTTCCATACATTTGGGAACTAACTTGGGAGAAGGCAGCTGGGGGAGGGGTCTCTGCATTCAGCATTCTATCAATAGTATGTATATATCTGTGATCCTCTAGTCCGAGCTTCCAGTTCCGTTTCCAGAGAAGAAACTGTTCTGCTAGAGTGAGAAAGAGGATCTAAGGATTTAACTGTTTATTAGTTTTTGCTTAGTTCTCCCTATTTTATCCACCTTCACCCCCAAGCCCTAGTTCTAAAAGTGTCCTTTTTAAGATTCTGTGTTTAGGCTCGTTCTCAGCTCTACCACTGCTGACTTAGATTTCAGTTCTCGGTGAATTTGCTGCCTTTTGTCTCCTTGTCCTTCAGTATTTGTTTAAAAACCCCTTTGTCATAATTTTAGTGGAGATTTTGGAAGGATTAAGATCAGATGAGTATGTGCAGTCTGTCATCTAACCTTCATTTTGTCTTAAACTTCGAAAAAAGAGTAAGTTGGTTGTGGTAGCTTGATTCTGTCCTATGCTTCCCACCCCATTATTTACTGTTGGATGCCTGTGAGCTCTTAGGAGGGTAGGAGGAAGAGGAAGATCCTTGTTCTTTAAAGCAGGAGTCCGCAGACTTTTTCTTTAAAGGACCTGATCATAAGTATTTCAGGCATTTTGAGCCATGAGGTTTCTGTTGCAGCTATTCAGCTCTGCTGTTGTAGTGTGAAAGAAGCCAGAGACAATACATAAATTAATGTGGCTGTGTTCCAATAAAACTTTATTTACAAAAATAGGACTGGGCTGGATTTGGCCATATGACACAGTTTGTGGACTTCTGTTTTAAAGCTTTAAGTTTTAGATGTTCAAGAAATGATTGAGATGGCACTGAAGGAAGAGCTGTTCCATGTTGTCTTTATGCTTAACTTTATAGTGAATAAAAGATATTCCCAAAATAATCTGTATTGTTTCTGATGGGAAGGCTGTTTTTTTTTCCCTTTGTTGACAGAAACAGATTTTTCTAGCAGAATACAGTTGACCTTTTTTATAGTTCCTATATGAAAATTAATTTTTCAAATGCTATTTCTAGACTAACCAAATACCGTACTAAAATGTAAAATAACACAAGGAATTGTATGATGATCTGTATGTTGAGTTAGATATCCTAATTCTCCATTTTAATGCTGATTGTAATCTCACGTTCAAAACCTAGATTTTTAAGATGAAATGGGAAGAATGTTACTACTTTTTACCTTCTCTTTCAATGGTCCATCCTCCTGGCTTTACTCTAAGCATGAAGTAGACTCGGGTCTTCTTAACTTTTACTGTTCTTCCCCATCTCCCCTATGAAGTGAAGAAAAAAGGAAGGTCCAAAGATAGTAAGTACAGGCTGATGCGGTTGTTCCACAGCCACCAGGGATCCAGGATCCTTCTGTTTTTCCAGACTCCTTAATTTATTCTTAGCTGGTGAGTTCCGTTCTCTAGGATGCCTCATGGTCCAACATGGCTGCTGGAGCTCTAGCCATCATATCCCTGTTCTAGGGAGGGAGCAATATTGAAAAGGGTTCCAGCTGTTTACCATTCTATTAAGGAGGCTTTATATACATATAAAATTCTACATTCCTCTTTTTTTACCTTACTGCCAAAAGATGGTTATATAGCCACATCTAGCTGAAAGATAGGCTGGGATATGTAGACTTTTTAGCTTGGTTTATTACCATCTCATATAAAATCAGAGTGCTGTTACTAGGTAGAATGAAACCAATGGATTTGGGTAGAAAGCACATACTTTCTGACATTACATCCTCTGAATCACAACCTGTCAAACCACATTTTTAAAGCTTAAAGTATAAACTTTATATTAGACCATATGCTTTTAAATGAAAGTTTAAGTATTTCCAGTTTGTCCTTGTTTACATATGAAGTTAGAAAACTGAATCACCCTTTGGATTTCCTACTTCATATTTTTGAAAGAGGAATATTCACCTAGAAAATGAACTGAAGTTTTCTATAATTTTTTTTTTGTTTTTTTTTTTTTGGGTAATTGGTACATTTGAACCTTGGTGTGATACTATAATATTATAGCAAAGAACAGTCTGAACTTGATCAAGATTTGGATGATGTTGAAGAAGTAGAAGAAGAAGAAACTGGTGAAGAAACAAAAATCAAAGGTATTATTTTAAATTCCTTCAGGAGCCAGTGATTGCTGGCGTGTGTCTTCTGGAGGGTAGTAGTAAATATCATTCTCTTTTTGGATACTTGTCCAATTTACTGACTAGCCAAACCTGCAGTAACAGTTTTGTGTGTAAATGTATGTTTGGGGTGGGGAGGGTGAGGGAGGGAGGGAGGGAGGAAGGGAGGGGCAGAGGGAGCTGGAGATGGAGAGGAGTGGTAGTAAGCGAGGAGGGAATGGATGTAGTGACCCAGCAGAAGTCACTGTGTGCACGCTCTACTGCTGGAGTGATGTCATAGCTTGTCAAACAGTTGCCTGTGAGATTTGTCTCAATTTAGGTACGTTATAGGTGGTGGTAGGAGTTGTTTCTAGTGGTGCTTCTAAATAACACTAGCTTAGACTTATTTGAAAATGTTTAGTATTTAATATGTAGAAAATACGTAGTGTGTATGTCTGTGTTTTTAATCCATTCCAACCGATCAAAAAGAGACATTTATTAAATGTAGACAAAATCATTCAAAATTTTCTTTAGCAAATTATTTTTAAAGGGGGTAATAATGGTAGTGGGGAATTATACTGCTTTAGGATATGCCCTGTAGCTTAGGAGCCAAGAATATCAACGTACCAGATGACTCAACTTCTCAATTTTTTTTTTTTTTTTTGGTGGTACTCGGGCCTCTCACCGCTGCGGCCTCTCCCGTTGCGGAGCACAGGCTCCAGATGCGCAGGCTCAGCGGCCATGGCTCACGGGCCCAGCCACTCCGCGGCATGTGGGATCCTCCCGGACCGGGGCATGAACCCGTGTCCCCTGCATCGGCAGGCGGACC